GTAACAGAGATGTAACACAGCTGTAACAGAGATGTAACACAGCTGCAACAGAGATGTAACACAGCTGTAACAGAGATGTAACACAGCTGTAACAGAGATGCAACATAGCTGCAACAGAGATGTAACACAGCTGCAGAACAGCTGGATTTATTTCCATTTGATGCTTTTTGATAACTGATAAACTTATTCTTGTCTTATTTACTTTTGCACAACATAATTGTCAGATGTTTTTATTTATTAGTTTAACTTTATGAGCAACAAGTTGTTTTAATTTTATTTTTTAATTTTGTCAAATAAAACCAGTTTGTTTGACTCTTCTATACAAAAGTCTTGACTCATCAGTTTTTACCACATTTCTTCTTCTTTCGGCTTTTACCTCTTCAGGGGTCACCACAGTGAGCCACCCTCCTCCATCTCTGTCCTCTGCATCCTCTGTCCTCACTCCATCGATCTCCATGTCCTCTCTAACTGCATCCATATATCTCTTTGGACTTCCTCTTTGTCTTTCTCATGACTTTCTTGCAGAGATGCAGTAGCTCAACTGTGCCACAGTGCTGCCCAGTCATTCACCAGTTGTTCTTAAAAAAATTAGACAAAACCCAAATTATTGTTCTTAATATCTACTGTCATAATTGTGCATACACAGATAAAACATACTCCTCCTATGTCATGTCTCAAAGCGGACCAACTAGAATTACATCATGTCATTAAACATAAAGAATAGAATAGAATAGAATAGAAACGGCTTTTATTGTCCAACGGATAGGAAATTCAAGTGTAACAGCAGCAACAGATAAAAAGATTCACGCAAAAAGTTCCTAAAATGTTAAAAACAATATATAAAAAAATAAAAAACAACATATAAAGAAGTAAGATAAACAATATCAATAATAATGTTCAATATGCATTGGAACATTGATAAGGACAGACTATTGACAGTACAGTATTACAGGCAGAGTGTGTGTTTTAGCAGAGGTCAGCATGTATTTAATCCTTATTGAGTTTGTTGGGAGCAGTGATGGTTGTAGAGTCTAACAGCTGCTGGGAGGAAGGACCTGCGGTAACGCTCCTTTGTGCATTTAGGATGCAGTAATCTGTCACTGAACGAGCTCTCCAGTTCAGCAACAGCTTCATGCATGGGGTGGGAGACGTTGTCCAGCAATGATGTTATTTTAGTTAGAGTCCTTCTGTCTCCCACCACCTGCACTGGGTCGAGGGGGCGTCCAAGCACAGAGCTGGCCTTCTTGATGATCTTATCTAGCTGCTTCTTCTCAGCTGACGATAAGCTGCTGCTCCAACACACAACACCATAGAAAATAGATGATGCTACTACTGAGTCAAAGAAGGTCTTCAGGAGCACCTCCGTCACTCCAAAAGACCTCAGTCTCCTCAGCAGGAAGAGTCTGCTCTGACCCTTCCTGTAAAGTGCTTCAGTGTTGTGAGACCAGTCCAGTTTATTGTTCAGGTGAACACCCAGGTACTTATAAGAGTCCACGGTCTCAATGTCCACTCCCTGGATGTTCACCGGGGTCAGTGAGGTGGGTCTGCTCCTGTGGAAATCCACCAATAGGGTTACAGACATCTCGTTTCTCTGGTGTGGAAAAAAAAGGAACAGCTACACTTTAAACACACACACTAGCATAGTGATTCTTCTCTTCAGTATTTTCATTTCTCCTGGTCCAACTTATCTTCAGGACATCCTTGTAAAAGAGATTGATGATCTCAGTAGATTTCGTCCTGGTAAAATAAAGGTATAAATAAATAAAAAAAACTTCAACACTGTCTCCTCTCATTGACTGAAACTGACAGCTCCATTCCTTCCAGACTGCTGCAGCTCTGTAAGGGAGGACCTGATAACATGCTCAGTTAACACAGGCTGACTTCCATAAGGATACACTGGGCCCATCTTGATGTGGAGTCAGTGCCTGCTGCGGCCCGGTTTTGTGACCAGCAGGTCGACCTGGGACTGACCTCTGATGCTGCACATTCTCGTAAGCAGTCGGTGTCAGTGATCAGTTCCTGGCAGATAAATGTGATCAGGTGAAGGCTCATCATTGTTCCATCTCTCCATCTGATGTCTGTGTCACATAAAATGTGGTCTCCTATAAAAGCAAGAGCATTCTTCCAAGTTTCTACTTGACTTCTTAGCGAAACAGCAACTAAAAGCTTGGCATGAAATGACAAAAAATAGAGCAAGTATAGTAGATTTCAATGAACAGAATACTGTTTCTGAAAAAAGGTAAATGTATTTCTAAAGGGAAATTATTATGAAGTAGATTACATGAACAGAACATTGTTTCTGAAAAAAAAGTAAATGTATTTTTAAAGGGAATTATTGTAAAAGTTGGAAAATATAAAATCAATAAAATCCACTGCACACACTATTTGATGACACAGAATGTTTTGAGAAATTAATGGTTAAATAGCACCAAAATAGTTTGATTGCACAAAAAAATGTAGGGAAGAAACTATAAAAAAGGAAAACAGTAGTGTAGAAGCTGAATCATCACTCTCACTATTTAATTAAAAGGTTTCAGGCGGTTTTTATCTGAGCCAGTGGATCTCTTATTCTGAAAGACCCAGAGCGGATGTTCCTTCGCTTCTCTTATTGTGGTACTGAACGGAACATCCGGTTTTGCGTGGACAAAATCTAACGGTTAAAGTTAGAAGAGGAAAGCGTTCAGGTGTTTCAGTACCACGTAAGTCCCACTGATATCATTACTGAAGAATTTGTACGGAACTTTTTATTAAATTGAAATATAATAAAATAGTTTTTAAATCTCTTTATCACAAGTGAGCTTACAGCTAGCTTGTTTGTAAGGATGCGTGCGTGTAACAATTGGCGCTCACTTCTGATCCTACGAGCTGAAATTAACTCCCATTTGCTGAAATATGTTATTTTTGCACATTAACTATTTTTTTATGTCAGCCCATCTGATACAGAGTTTAGCTCCATGTTTCCCAAAAAAAAAAAAAAAAAAGCAGGCGCCAATATAGTGACACGCGTTAAAAATAAAGTACCTTTATTTTTTTATTTATTTACGTTAATAAATAAAGTGAATAAAATAAATAAAAGTAAAAAAAAAAAAAAAGCGGGCAGTGATTCCCTCCTTTTTTCCACTTTTTGAGTCAATGAGCTGGCGCGTGATAGCATCCCTGTAAATTCTCGCTTTTCAGCGAAATTCGCCGATTTCAAACTAAAATATGTCATGAATCATAGATCCTAAGAAGTTTATTATTTTTTTTTTTTGTGGTGGTGGTGGATGTCTCGGTAATATCCCTTTAGAAACACTCCGTCAGGTGCTCATCTCTTCGCGGGTTTTTGTAGACCGGGCGGAGGGAGGAGGGGGAGAGCGCGTGGTCCTCTGCAGCAGGACATCACCGCGTCCGCCATTTTGAATGTGGCAGAACTGTGGGTCAACTAATACAAGGATAATAAAGCACCGTTCTACAAAGTGTTTTAAGTTAATCCCTGTCATGCACACACACTAATATAGTTAGAAGACAAACATGCACCAAAGACAACATTTATAACATTTACTGTGATTATTAAAAATGTTTAATTTTTAAATATTTAGGTTAAAGTTGAGCACTAAACCATCATATGTGCTGTATTATTTGAGTGTTTACAACTGTTCATATTTAACATTTAATCTGTGTCTATAATAACCAGATCCTGAAATGTAGATGTGATGTGTCTTCTGAATAAAGAGCACTAACCTTCACATTTAACAGATTTTGATTAATCACATCAATGAACACTAAATAAAACACAACACTTTTTAATCTGGTTTAGTATTTCATTCCTTCTGATTGCGTTTGCTTTTTTTTTGTTATTATTCTGCGACATTTGACAGGGCGATCAGATTTAGTATTTCATTGTTTCTAATTATGTTTTGTGTTTTTATTCCATGTGCTGCAATTAAATCATTTTGATCTGATGCTGTGATCTTTTTCTTAAGCACTTCGGTAACAGTTTTTGTTTTAAATGTGCAATATAAGTAAATCTGACTTGACTTGAAGCATGTAGTATTTTCCCCAAATTGTCTTGGGGTATACCAGAATGCTTAATTTACGTGTAAAAAAAATCACAATCTTTGTGGGGTGGGGGGCAGGTGCTAGGTTTGTCACCTTTTTCATCCCTTCTGAGTTTTCAGGTATGTTTCATAGAGAGGAGAACAGTAGCATGTCTTACTGAAAAAAGTCTTTGTTGGTAGGTTGAATCCGAGGAGAGGAGGAGAGGTTCTGGTTCCAGCAAGGTTCATTAGTGTGAGAGGAGGTGAGTACTGTTGGAGAGAAGATCAGGTCTTGTTGAGTAGATGTCTCTTCAGGCTCCATTCAGCCCATTACCATTTACCATAGGTATGATATTGTCCCAGTGCTGAAGGAGTGTAGGTGAGGCTGTTGTGCTCCTCCAGAGTCGTCCCTCAAATCAGGTACAGGTGTGCAGTGGTGGCTGATCAGTAAACTGCTGCAGCTGTGGGAGAGAGTGGGTGTGGCTGGCAGAACCAGAACTCCCACACGTTAACCACAGCAGAGCTTTGCTGGTTTGTTTTATGAGCCAAACCAGTGTCACAACTAAAAGTTACACCAATGAATTGTCATTAATAGTATTTTTTTGCCTATGCACAGTTTTAGTGGTTGTAATAACTTTAATAGCTGTAGTAAGTTGTAATAACCAAGTCTGTCCAATTTTCACATCTTAAATACTCCTAGTTAATTACAAATTTTAAATATCAAGAGAAACGTACAAAGTAGAGTAGTACCCACTTGAACGAAAGATAGTTGGGTGGTCACAAATCTCTGCTGCTGCTATTTTGTAGGTCTGTAGAAAAGTTTAGTGTATCAGAGGAAATCGAAGCATTACAGTCATGTGGGCTGCACAGTGATTATTTAGTTGCATTTTGAGAGGCTTCTTTAAAACAAGAGCATTTGTGTTTACATTTCATAGCTTTTGGTGACATCTGATGAGACAGTTGCTTGTTTTGTTGCAGCACATCATGTTTAATGCTGCTGGAACGTCTCAAAAAATGCCCAACACCCGGAACATGCCAGCTCATGGCTCCGGCGCTAAGGCCTCCAAAAATCTTCCGGTCGACGAATTCATCAAGATGTCAGTGAACCGCTCTCTGGAGAGGTTTCGCTACAGTGACGAGAAAGGTACAGACTGTTTTCCTGATGTCTCTGCTTTATTATATATTATATGTTTATTTATGGTCTCTTTATACGATGCACAAGTATATTAACTGGAGTGTGTGGTGCATCCTTGTCACTATTCACTTAGGTTTTTATTCACTAATGCTCATGTTGGTTTTGTTATAACTTTTATTGACGGCATGGACACTTCTATGTCAATCTCAAACTCTAATCACTTCCCCTTTCTCTGTCTTTGATTTCAAAATAATAAATATTGTCAAATTAAATGATAAGTGAATATCACTGTCACAGTAAGTGTATGTCAGTGTAAGAAGGTGTTTATATGGTGTATGCTTTCATTTACTCGTTGCTGCCTCTGACTGTGCAGAGATGGAATTTCCATCCTCCTTTTACGGTGCTGAGAGGGCATTTGTTCATCAAGCGGCAAAGTCCATGGGCTACATTTCCAAGAGCACAGGGTAAGTTTTTTCAGTAGATCTGTCTCACATTCACTCAAAAGAAGCTCCGTCAAATGGACCCTTGGAGCTAAAGATGACACCATACCTTTACAGGGATTCCTATTACAGTAAAAGAATCGGCTCATTTCTTTGCAGTTTAAGTGACTGATGGCCATAGGACAGTTTCTGACATTTTATGTTAATTTAGCAACTAATGCAGACTAAATATAAGAACTGAATGTCACTTACCGTATCTTTTTATTTACCGTACTTTCCGCCGTACACGGCACACCACCGTATAAGTTGCATCAGTCCAAATATGTCTAATGAAGTGGAAAAATACATAAATAAGTCGCTTCGCCGTATAAGTCGCATCTATTATGCGTCGCCGCTGACAACCCGGAAACGAGGTCGGTGTTGTGCCAAAAATCAATTGGTTGCCAAATGGTGGCCACGGGAGCGTGCACGGGAGGACTTGAACAAGAATTTAACAAGATTAACACTTTAAACAATTTCTCAGTTGAACTTTTCCTTAATAAATGCACTTTGACGGTCAAATCAGCTGCATTTCTTCTGGGCGGCGCGGTGAAATGCAGCTGATTTGACGTTTGCTCCAGGAGTTCCGGAGCGAGATGAAGGTGGCTTGTATGGCAAGCCAAGTGTCTCATTGATAGCCACTTTTACCTATTAATGAGACACTTGGCTTGCCATATTAGTTGAGCGCCCCCTAGCGCCTGAAAATGGTAGTGTTCAATATTTTCCACGTCAAAATGAATGAAATCGTCAGATCTCAGCAAAAATTGGGTTATAAATATGGGAAAAGAAACATAAATAAGTTACTTCACTGTGTAAGTCACAGAACATGCTAATTTATTCAAAAAGGTGCGACTTATACAGCGAAAAGTAATGAATTGGTGAATTTTTAAAAGGTCACCAAATGCTGATGTCACATTCTGTTATTTGACTTAGTTGCTTGAGTTTATCTTTTAGTTTTGTTTTAGTTGAGGTTTTGGCTGTCTCGCCAGCCACTTTGTTTTAGTTAATTAAAATAAAGTTTTTTATTTTTTAAAGTTTAACCTTTGAACTCTTCATGTCTGTCTGAACTTGAGTCCAATCCTCTATTTCCACCAACCTACTGACATGTGACCTTCAATTTGAACAGTGCACTTTTTGGGGAGGATGTATTTTCATACTGATTTCATACACTGGGACAAGTTTCATGTTTCTGCCTCATTCCAGCCATCTGTTTTATTTGCTCGAGGTTGGCACCTTATATAGAAGAAAGCAAGTAAACAGCAGCTTTTACACAGGACAAGAAAAACCTAAACAAACTGTTTCTTTTTTCTTCTAAAATCAACAAAGACCAACAAAAATGATTAATCACATTTTAACCATTTAGTTACCTTTTAATTACATTATATGCATAAGGATTGAAGCTACTTAATTTTTTTGTCATCGTCATCTTTTTTATTATTAACATTTAAAGAGATAAACAATGCTTCCAGAGCTCTTGTTTTTTTTTTTTAATATGGTGGTATTAGCCACACGGATGTTTTCTGCTGGGGCTGAGTGGTTAGAGCAGTTGTCCTCCAATGCAGGAGTTGGGGGTTTGACTCTACCAGCAATCACATGCTGAAGTGTCCCTGCGCAAGACACTGAACCCCTCCTGTGTGTCCCATCAGCGTATGAATGTAATAAAGCACTGTTTAGTCTTCGTACAGATATACAGTAGACCCTCGCTAATTCACGGTTCGTTTTTTGAGGATTCGCTATATCACAGTTTTTCAAAGTAAGGTTGGACATGACCCAATTGGCTGATTGATGGATGAGCCATGAGTTGTTTATATTATTATTATTATTTATTTATTGAGTAGCTTGATAAGATAGAAAGGTTCTATACAAGTGCAGTCCATTTGCAGTCGTTAGACCCATAGTAATGTAAAATTTTATTTTATATTTTAATCAAGTACATTAACAGAGGCTTCTTTATTTATTTTTTTCCCAGAAAGGGATCCAGTCGCTTCTTGACCGTGAAGAAGAGGGATGTTTCAGACAAACCACCAAACATCTCCCTTTCAATCTCCCACAGTTCTTTGTATACCGTCTACAGTCTCCTTCAGAGGTTTCCCATCAACAAGAAGGAATGTGCAGACATGCAGCCCAGAAGCAGCATGAGCTCGGCTACAGAAACTGGTAATTGTGCATGTGTGTGTACAGGACCAGTAGTTCCTATGAGGTCCAAGGCACAGGCCTAATATGGAACATCAGGCGAGGTTAGGTTTAGGATTAAATTGAGTTTAGGTTACGTTTTTCTCATATTTTTTGTCGGTAATCTTCGATGATGCCCAGTGACTGCTCAAGGTTGGATATGGAGACCAACACGAGGCACGCTGAACTTGAGATCAGGTCAATTCTTAGGTTATTTGAAATAAACTTCTTCTGGTGCAGTGAATGTTACGTGACATCCGGGTAGGTGCATGTACTCACAGGTAGATTATTACTGTGTGTTTGCTAGTTGTATTCTGTGCTTAGTATGGAAAGAAAGAGCGCATCTAGGGCAGGAACGTATACAAAATAACACACATATAAAATAATTTAAATATAGTTGAGTCATGGTTAAGGCTAGGCTTGTACTGGTAATCGTTAAGGTTATGGTTAGAGCTAGGATTAGCTTGATTTCCCTCACAAGACTTCCTCTCTTATGTTCTAAACTTGCATAATTACTTTTTAGTGCTGTCTACTGCAGATAATATACTAACTATAAGTACTGTACTCATATGTACGGTCATCTTCTGTTCCTCTTTTAGAACACACTTACGACAAGAACAGGGCATGTGGGGGCTTAAACAACGGCATTCCTATGGTCCCTCAGAAGAGGACTCCATCAGAACTGGACAAGTTTCGGTGCTCTCTGCCTGCGCATAAACATCGAGAAGAGATTGTCAAACTGATCAGAGAAAACCGAGTAGTAATTGTTGTGGGAGAGACCGGCTCTGGAAAAACTACCCAGGTGGGTCTGATACATTAGAAACAGTCAGATGGTCAAAGGACCCGACACAAATGTCAGTACAGTTCTTGTTTGGGGAATTTGTGACACCTGTATCTATAAAACCTTTTGTATCTGTGAGATTACTCAGGTGTCTAGCATGCAAATATCTTTCAGGATGTCACTCCAGATTTTTATTAATGCTTATTTGAACAGTTTCACGTCATTTAATCTGTTTTTGCCTCTACCAGTGGAATGACTGGGTGTTGAAACGTGTTTTTGCGCCCAGTATTTTTAAAAGAGGTGCCTGGATTTTTATTTTCTTGAGTTAGACCCATTGTGGTGGATGCTGGTGTACTGGTATCACATGCCCACACAACAAAAAGAAGGTCACCTTTCAAAATCATCTGGGCCCTTTCAGTGTGGAGTTCATATGTTCTCCTTTGTCATGTGTGACTTTCCTCCGTTGTCCCACAGTAAACATGCATGCATTAACTGGTGATTCTGAATCGACATTAGGTGTCAAACGTGTTTCTTTGTTCCTCCAGCGTGTTCCTTGTACACATGTAGTCGTTTAGTACTTATTATTTTCCATATTTGATCATTTGTTAAATTAGATGTATCACAGTACAGTTACATCTTGGTTTGGTTCTAATTATAATCAAGTTTAGCTCTTCCAAACTGTAAAAACACCTTGTTGTTGCTAAAACACAGAGTAATTGAAATTTGCAGATATTATGATTGGCGCAGTTGGTAGAGCTGCTGCCTCTCAGCGAGCAGGTCCCCGGTTCAAATCCTGGTCCAGGGGCCTTTCTGGGTGGAGTTTGCATGTTCTTTCCGTACATGCGTGGGTTTTCTCCGGGTACTCCAGTTTCCTCCCACAGACCAAAAACATGCATGTTAGGCTGATTGGTAACTTTAAATTGTCTCTAGGTGTGAGTGGGAGAGTTTGCCTCGTTTGTCTCTATGTGTCCCTGTGATGGACTTGAACCTGTCCAGGGTGTCCCCCGCCTCTCACACAGTGATAGCTGGACATGGGCACCAGTGACCCCCGCGACCTGAAAAGGAAGAATCGGGTAAAAGATGATGGATGGATGATTAACTACAAACACCTGAAACTGACTCACAGAGAGAAAAATCGTGAGTTTGGGGTGGCTGCAGTGAATTGGTCGTGTGCGAACACTTACCTTTTTAATAATTCATTACATGTCATCACCTTCAGTTAGGGTAGAGAGGCGTCATACTTGGAAAATAGTACAGGAAACACTGATTGGTGCTCTGACCTGCACCTGTCTGGCTCTAGGAGTACAGCGCACACCCGCCCTGCTCTGACTGGGTCAAACTGTGGCTCTTGTTCTCTATTTGTTGAAAGCAGCACCAGTTTAATTCCTGTATCACATTCCCTCTTTCATTTTTTACAGATGATGGAAATCAGTTGCGGACGGAGAGCTTTAATCCATGTCTATTTCACTTGGTGGTCCGCCGGACAACCTTGAGGCGAGAGCTGGTTGTCTGGTTAACAACTGGAAACCCCTGTTTAATTTCTCAGTCTCTAAAGAAACTTATAAAAAAGAGAAAATGTTATTAATAGAAACGACAAGTCGCTGGTCTGGAGTGTACCCCACATCTTTATCAGTTAGCTTTGTTTTTGTTTCATCCCTCAAAGATTGCTCAAAAATAAACCAACCATATTCAATCAACCTTTATTTAGACAGGTAAATCCCATTGAGCCTCGAGGACTCATTTACAAGAGAGACCTGATTTCAACAAAGAAAGATGACAACAATGGACAACAGCAACATCAATAAACAAAACATATTATAAAACATATTATACACATTATAAACATATAAACATATTACACTAAACTGTTGAATTGAAACTTGTTCCTAAATAATAACCAACACCAATCTGATCCTCAGCCAAATCACATTTTTAAATTGAATTTTTTTTATTAATTTATTATTATTTATTTGGTAAAATATTTCAACAATTATTGGAAGATTTGACTGGGAGGATGTTTAGTAGCCGTTCTGCACTTTCTGTGTGTTGTAAAGATATGAATGTGTATTAAAGAGCTTTAAACAAACAGTATTATTAAATAAAATGTAATAAATCTTTTGCTATATCTTTGAATTGTCCAGATCCCACAGTTTTTGTTGGAGGACTGCAGCGAGAATGGTCAGCCCTGCAGGATGTTCTGCACGCAGCCCAGACGCCTGGCTGCTATCGCTGTGGCTGAGAGAGTGGCAGCTGAGCGAGGGGAAAGCGTGGGTCAGACCATTGGCTATCACAGCCGACTGGAGAGCATGTATGTTTCACTAAGATCACTTAGATTAGAATTGGTTAAAATAACATTGATATACCTGCAAACAAATGTATTGTACAAAAAATATTACAAGTAAAATTCTGTTGGTTTTTCCCCCGTGTTCATATAATCATAATAATCGGCACTGAATTATCTTAACTGGTAACTCTAAATTGTCCATGTGCGAATGTGAGTGGTTGTTTGTCTCTACTGTATGTGTCCCTGTGATGGAGCTGTGACCTGTCCAGGATGTCCCTCACCCCTTGCATAGTGATTGGACACCAGCTTCCCCATAACCCGAAAGAGAAAACCTTGTAAAGGACATGGAAGGACGGACTAAATCCTCTGTATTGACACCCCATGTTAACAAAGGGGCTATCGTGACGAGTGACTGGTCCTGCGTAATAAAAGTAAACATTACATTTGATGTATCCCCCTGGAAATAGGATCCATTAACATGACCACAAACCAGGTCATATGTGAAACAATACAAAGTTTTATTAATAAGCTTTATGTAGTAATTTTGCAATTGCAGGAGTTTACAGAATTAGTCAAAAATGTTGTTTGTCTTGTATGTTCTGCAGCTTTTTAAGATTCAGCCGACCATTCAGTATACCCTCATGCTTTGTGGATGTGACATCACACTTTAGCAGAAATATTTTGTCAAAGGATAAATGTAGTCACACAGAGCAGGCCTTTTAATTTCAAGTGATGCCACTATGCTGCATAAACCATGGTCACCGAACTCCTCACTTCAAGGGTGAAAGTATTTTCTATGTTTTGTTTGTCAGCTGTACTCAAGAGTCTGAGATTTAAAACTGATGCATTAAATCATTTCAATAAAATGTAATTTCCTGTAAACTCAGTGAATGCACAACGGTTTGAGGTAGAAAAATATCCATTTTGTCTGCGGGTGTTCTGCGGTGCCATCTTGTTATGCAGTGTGAGAAAAAGTGAGATCCGTTATAGAGCTTAGGTTACGTTTAACAAAAACGTTAAACTTCATGGTTCTTTACAAATGAAGGAAAATCCTAAAAAAAACAAACACTTTCAGTGTCCGTTTGCAAAACTACCAGTACTGTTTAAGACAAACAATAAAAACGAGTCCTTTGAGAGCTTTTTGTTTTCTGAAACATTCATAACTTTAATTTTTTCCAATCTCAGGACCTCTCCGATGACACTGTTGACGTTTTGCACAAGTGGAGTCCTCCTCAGAACATTGATCCCAGGAGACCTCAGCCTTACTGTCACTCATGTCATCCTGGTAAGCAGAATAGCTACAAAACAAGAGAAACTGAATCATCTTCAGCTATGTTTAGGCTTAGAGCTTGATGTCAACAGGATGACGTGCACGAGCGTGACAGTCTGACTGACTTCCTGCTCACCAAGATGAGGGACCTGCTTCAGAAGATCCCCACACTCAAACTGATTCTCTCCAGCGCAGCTCTGGATGTAGACCCATTACGTCAGTACTTCAGCTCCTGCCCTGTTATCTATCGTAAGTCCACTGCACGTAATCAATTCTAAAGATGAGCATTAAAGAGGTATTCCGTCCATTTTTAAGTGGGGTTTGATGGACAAATTAAAGAATTATTAACTAACATGTTGTAAATGTTTTGAATGAACTCAGTCTGGAGTAATAGTTTAATTCTGACAGGACTAACAACTTCTAAAATGGATATCTAGAATAATTTATAAATATAATAATTCAGAATCAAGATGAGGCGTTATTGAAACAAAGCAAATTTAGTGTTTCTGTGTGATCAGTGTTTTTGGCATGTGATGGCGGTCACTTATTCAATTGCGTTTGTTGTTGTTTTTTCTGAAGTTGAAGCAAGTAATTTTGGCGTCAAGGAGTATTTTTTGGAAGACATTTTGAAGCTGACGGGCTTTAGCAGAATGGATGTGATCCAATATAAGGAAGAGGCACAGAAAAGTATGGACCTTTCTTGATGAATCTAAAACTAAAGGCTGGCCGCCTCCTAACTTCCTCCGTGTGTCTCACGAATGATGTTTTTTTCAGAGGAGAGAACGCGGAGACGTCTGATGGATTGGTGTGAGGCAGTGGAGACCAGCCTCATAGATGGGGGGAAATATCGCAGCTGTCTTTTAGCTCCAGGCCTCCATGCCAATGCTTGTGTAGATGGATATAACCCGGTCACCAGCCACCTGGTAATCCAGACGTTCACTGATGTCTACGCATTGTTCCACTCACTGGCTCTTCTTGTCGTTTAACATTATTTTATTGCCCTACAACATTTTTTGCGATTTTATATCTGAAACAAACAAGATGTGCTTTTAAAGTCTAGATTTGCAGCATCATCATTAAGTATTTTACAAAGATAAGTGAGCTAATTAAAAAAAAAAAAAGTTCTAGTTTTACTGGCTCGGTTTAACCAACAAACAAAGCTTCATTACTATAATGAACTATTTTCTGTGACTGTTTCACTCAGATCAGTGACTGAGTTGTGACAAACCTTATCATTGATCAGGAACTGTGGCTGGTGAGGGAAACGGACTCCTGCATTGCTAACATTTTCCTCCATGAGGCCCGGGATGTTTTTGGTCAGCTCTTCCACAACCTCCTCCACGAACCTGTTCACGGTATGAATAAAATGGTTGATGCTGTGTTTCCCCTAGGTTACTTAGCAGGGGCGGGGTGCTCATCTCTTCCGTGATTTTTGTCGGGGGGTGGGGCACGACACACAGTTGTCAACCAGGGAGGGGCTGAAGGAAATGGATCAGTGTGAGGGAGATGAATCGCTACCTCCAGGGGTGGGAGACAGTTTGGTAGGCAGTGCTCGGTTCTGTATCTGCTCTGTGGGGTGCCCTCCTTGTATAATGTTAGGGGATATTTGTCTTTTAGGTCAGAGAGATTTTATGCTCAGTATTTAGTTTGAAGTGGGATTAAATACATCTAGATGTGATGATAATTGTTTTAATATCAAATGGCAGCCCTCTCAATTCTAATCAAATTGAATGGTGAGGTGCTTGTAGAGTCCCACCCCTACAGATTAGTTCATATGGAGTCAGTTGTTGCTGTGTCAGGGATTTTCATATGCTTCAGTCCTGCTTCATGTCCTAAAGTAAGGCTCTCACCTGTCCTCCTGAACTGTGTTATCTAGTGGACTACACACACAGTGGGACAGGGTGCACGGCTCTGATGGCGACAGCAGTGCGAGGATTCCTTCCACAAATACAGCAGCTACTCAGCATGGGTGCTGACATCAATATGAAGGCAGTTAACGGATGGTAGGATAAAACTGTAGGAAGTGGCATTACTGTCTTTTTACAACTGAAAATAGTGATTCTTCTGTTTAGAGATACTTTTGTTTTTCCAATGTTGTGCATACAAGTAAGTTTGCAGCTAGTTTTAAAATCCTAAACAGTGACGTCACCGTTTGGACCGCAGACTAAACTTTCAAGCCATTATTGTGAAAATGTTACGCACGTGTGACTCTTGTTGTCGTTTCATTTCAGGACTGCCTTAGACTTTGCCAAACACTTCAAGCAAGCTGAAGCTTTGGATCTGCTCAGTTCTTCCATGTGAGTGTGTGGCTGAAAGACATGAACATATTTTGATGTCATGCTTGTGAACAGATTGTGGGAAGCTGCCGCTGTGAGGTCATGCTGCATTTTAATACATCATCATCGGTGGGATGCTCATTGCATTTTTATGTTCAGTACAATGTTTTTCTTTGGACCCAGCATCATGCACAGATAACATTTTAGTTTTCCATTAAATTAATATTGTTCATCCAGGGCTGTCTGCATCGTGAAGGCTTGTCCTGCCTCTAAACACTCTTTCATGTCTGAAACATCTAGTCATTTTGAGTGCTCCTTTCACCGTCACGTCACCTAAAAATCGAGAAACGTTTCGTTTGGGCTTTATATACTGATTTCATCACTTGCCTCAGGAGAAGCAACTTTACATGTTGATTTATTAGTTTCAATCTTTTCAACAACCGCTGTGATGCAGGCCAATGCATTTCATTTTCAATAAAAATATGAGTAGCAGTCTGTGGATTACCTGTCACTGTGACATTTCTGGTCAGGGTGAATCCTGGCTTGGCAATGAAAACACTCCAGGATTAACTAAGCCTGTCTGATGGCCTCTGGAGCTGGCTAGCTGCACAGAAAAATAGATTATCTGTGGTAAATGCAAATATACAACTGATCCAAAGGTGGGTTAGGCCAGAGTATCCATGAAATTTGAACCTAATGTCTGATTTAGATTTTTGTGAAACAATGATATGGTTGAGACTGCTGTAAAAAAACGTTCCTCCTGCTGCAGCATCTTCTTAGAGGACCTCAGAAATCTAAATTTCCACCCTGAAATAAATTCTATTTCCAGTTTTCAGTGCTACCAACATCTGCATTTGGGTCCAACAATCTTAAACTTGTGGCAGATTTGCTACAAGAATGGTTTATAATGCTCAGATCCAGCACTTTTAAAACTTTTCCCAATATATGGCATTTTCACCTGTTTTCTTAATTAACGTCATTCATTTAATATTATTTATGCACAGTACACATACTATAAAGAGGGAAAAAGTTTGATTGTAAGTATTTTATTTCTTTGAAGTCAGATGGAACAAAAAAACAAAAATGAACACAGCACTCACTTAATTTTATAGTGAACAAGATGTACCTTTTTTAAGCTGTCATCAACAGGAATCAAGACTACAAATGTATCAGTATAAAAAAGCTGGCAATATTCAAGCATTTATCAACAAGGCGGACATTAACTCAGAGAAAACATCATGGAGAACATATATATTTTTGGATATAAGTGTCTATTGACATCTCTTCATGTTGACTTATTACTGTTGATTTGATTTATTTTGACGGCAGCTTGGAGTTAAAACACATTCATCTTGCTCAAAATAATTCAGAAAACTTTACATTAAAGGCAGTTTTGATCCCCTCTTATTACTGTGCCATCAAGTTTGATATTGATGGTTGTTGGGCTGCAGGTGCTGAATAATTCTGTACGTTATCTTGTTCCTGTTCAGACCTTTAGGGGAAAGGAGCAACCCGGAGGAGTCAGCGTTGTCACAGAGTGGCACCGCAGAGCTGGGCCTCGAAGAGCAGGAGCTGCTCAAACAGTACCACCACAGCTTCGATGGTCAGAGGGTGGATAACGAGCTCATCATGACTCTGCTCCGCAACATCTGCAGCACTGGCACTGAAGGTGAGACTCAGGAATACAGCCACACAAGCCGCCTGCTGATGGAAGAATGATACAGCCGCTACAAAACAAGTCTCACATTACTACGGTGACATCCATCGAGGTCAAAATGAATATAAATCATATATTTGTATTACAGCTGAAGTTTATCAGTTTTGACTTTTTATTTGCTGTTTCAAGTTGACATCTGACAAACAGATAAAAATATATAAACATGCCTTACAAGCATTTGTTGCATTGGTGGTAATTTTGAATAACACCTCATGCCAAAATTGAGTGGGTATTCCAATCTTTTTTATCTGAGTGAATGTTATGGACATAGACCTGGTGGCTCTAACTCTCATCTTGCTGCGCCACATTTGTTTTCCAACACACTCAGTGCGTACTTAAGATCTCTGCTCCATAAAGTCCTGCTGTCTTTGTAATCCTGAGCTAATCTTACCAGAACTGCCTCTCCCAATAGCTGTAAACAACTTTTCTGAGCACAAGTATCTTGTTTGTTTTTCTTGCTGTGGTGAACATGGTCCAAGTTAAAGCTGGTTTATAGAAATTAGTGTAACTTTTAATTGTAACACAGGTGACTCATCTGCACAGCAGCCACACCATAAAACCTGTCAGAATGTGAGCTTTTGTTCTCTTGATTTTTTAGGGGCTGTCCTTATTTTTCTTCCTGGATATGATGAAATAGTCTCCCTCAGGAACCACATCCTGTATGACGACAAGATATTCTCCACACACCCAGAGAGGTAGCTCAGTCTGAGAAGGAAGGGAGAGATTTTGTGCAGTATTCACACAAATGGAAGTTCCTTTAGAATGAATGTTTTAAATCATGAAGTTTGTGTTTGCTTTAACTCAAGCAGATTGTAATCTTGGCTCAAGGTAAATGTTTTCAGATTACACGGTTCTTAAGGTTCTAGTAACTTGTATGCTTTGCAGAGACCAATGCATCTACATTTTCTTCTCTCTGGTCACATTTGCACTGCAGGTAGAAACACTAAAATTAAGAATTTATTTGCTTGCAGTTTGCAGATGAGGCAAAATCACAACTTACTGTATTTTCCACCGTACATTTCGCACCGCCCTATAAGTCGCATCAGTCCAAGTATGTCTAAAAAAGTGGAAAAATTCCGTAAATACGTCATTTTGCCATATACGTCGCATCTATTATGCGTCACCACTGACGTGAGCATGCGTGGGAGGACTTTGACAAGAATTTAACAAGATGAACACTTAAAAACAATTATTTGTTTGCTTGAAATTATAGTAAAGTTGTGTCTCAGTCTAACTTTTGCTTAATAAATGCACTTTGACGGTCAAATCAGCTGCATTTCAAAAGCCGATACGTGGAAGTAAGCGCATGCATGGTAGGACTCACTGTGCATTTCTTTCTAAATTTAATAAGATAACCACCTAAACAACAATTATTTGTTTGTTCGACTTTATAGTAAAGGTGTGTATCAGTTGAACTTTTACTTAATAAAAGGACTTTAATGGTCAAATCACCTGTATTTCAAAAGTATTCGCTGCTTCACTGCTCTGGGAGACAGGGAGGTAATCAGGAAGGAGGAACGCTGCACATTACTTAGAAATTTAACAAGATAACCACCTTAAACAATTATTTGTTTGCTCAAAAGTATAGTAAAGGTGTGTCTCAGTTGAACTTTTACTTAATAAATGCACGTCAGCGGTCAAATTAGCTGCATTTTGCCAGGGCGGCGCAGCGAAATGAAGCTGATTTGAAGGTTGCTCCATGCGAGCTGAACAAAGATGGCAGGCTATGGCAAGCCAGTAGTGTCGTTAATAGCCACTTTTACCTGTTACATGATTCAATGGCTGGATGGCACAGTGCCATCCAGCGGCTGAAAATGGTAGTGTTCAATATTTTCAGTCAGAATGAATGAAAATGGTCATATCGCAGTCAAAAATTGGTTTATAAATATGGGAAAAATCCATAAATACGTCGCTCAACAACAAGTCACAGGGCATGCAAAAATTATGCAAAAAAAAAAAAACTGACTTATCGGGCAAAAAAATTCAGTAATTATTTGTTGTATATCCAGTATACTCAGTAATCTACTGCGTTCACTAGGGGTGTAACAGTACGCTAAAAATCACAGTTCAGTTCAGTTTCAAGGAGGGCTCAGTTTGGTTAATTTTCGGTACAAAAAAGGCCAAAATAAAGACTTACAAAATGCTTATTTTGAAAATATACCATGTAAACAAGTTCAGTCATTACAGACTTCTTAGGGTGGTTGCGTGTTGGAGTAGCTCTGTTACTTTCATTCTGAGTTATTGCTTTTAAAACTTTAATTCCACTTTTTTTCTGGATGTAAATCGATTTTTCCGACGATTACTTCCTCTGGTATTGGATGCTGTACAGCTGCAAGGATTTTTACTGAAACCTTTTTACTTTGGGGCATTTGTTATGATGCGTAACCATGGCAACAAGGTGTTTTTTAACAATCAGGAGCACTTGATTAACATCTCAAAGCTCAAATACCTCAACTACAGCCCCAAATCCCAAAAGAGTTGAAAAAGAGGTGCCGTGGATGAATTTCCGTCAACCTGACAGCAGTGCTTGAGTACCTGGTCACCAAGATCCTGGAGCTGGTGAGAAACTCCGCTCGTGACAACGGGAGGACCAAGATCATCTCCTGGCACCTTCAGCTTTCTCTCCATGGCGACGAGGAGCTCTGCAGACTGCTGGGAGCAGCGACCATCGCTCTGGAAGGAATTTTTCCCAGCATTTGGGCAGTCCTGCTGCCCAGGAGGACCGAGAGGCCTGCTGGATCTGACAGCAAGCTGGATCCAGGTGGACGGATCGGTATCTGTTACCAGATTCTTTGGCTTCACTGCAGGAGATCCTTCCTGCCCACAGTTATTAGCGTCTATAACAACTCTTGAATGAAACCAGGATGATGAGCTACGACAACACTTAATTTCCCTTTGGGATTAATAAAGTATATTTGAATTTGAATCTGGTGGATGAAAAACACTCAGCTGCTGTCATCCTCAGACTGCTAACCGCTCAAAGAGATAAAAAATGAGTTAATAAGATGATAATTTTAAATAAAAAAAATTTACTTGTAATTAGATAATAATAATAAAATAAGAGTACCTCTTCGTGAAACGTCATCATTTCTGTTACGAGGTGTTTGAATCTCTCGCTCATCATCGATGTGGCAGGGCTTTAAATCTGGGGTCGGGCTTGTTGACAATATCAATTTTAGCTTTTTCATAAAGTGATGCTACAACTTTTTAACTGAAGTGTTGACGTGATGGGATGTCGTAGGCAGTGGGGCTCAATAACTATAAACTTTAATCATAGCTTAAAGCCGGTGCATCAACAACATTAGGACGTAGATCCAGAGCTTTAAACTCCTACATCTTGTGTTGTTGCTCTGGACCGATCTGAATGACCTAATAAAAGTTGTTTAAATGCTGCTGTTATTGTTCTTTGCACCAACCAAGCTGCTAGAAGAGACATTCAGATGATGTCGTTTCAAGTGCGTTAACAGACGTGTTGCCAGCCGCAGATCCAATATCCGTGAAACGACGTCGACACAGCGTTGGATTTGCACTTGTCTTTTAACAAGAAAGCCATATTGTTCCCAAACAGGAGACCGCAACGAGATACTAGGCTGCTAATGCTACGCGTGCTGCAAGATAATAGCGCCGTGCTGAAACACACGTAGGAACTTTAGTTCCGCGGCGCATAATCTCTCATTAACAAAATTGAATGAGGGGGAAAATAACCAAAACGGTACGCACGTGGACCGAACCGAACATGTTGTACCGAAACGGTTCAATACACCCACATGTACCGTTACACCACTACTGTTGATCAGCTCATCAATGTTTATATTAAAGCTTTTAGAAGACTATTGTTTATATTGCCACTTCTGCCTTTTACCAGACATTATTTTTATTATTGATCAACAGTCTTATGCTATGTTCATTCCTTCAAACAAACTGTATATTTATGTTGTGTTTTGTTTAGGTTCACCATTAAACAGAACCATTCTACAATGATGAACAAACATTATAGGGGATTTTTTAGCGACAACTGCAACAATTCTTTTATTTGTCTGGTCGTTTTTTCAATATTACCGGTAGTTATGGTCAATGAACAAAACAATTATAGCACATAAGGAGACTGCAGTCAAACTGGTTCCAGATGTGCATGAAGTCTTCAAAGGAGAGCAAAGGTTATGAAACGCACAGTCTTAAAGATCTAGTTGATATGATACAGGCTGTCCACAGACTAATTTATGTTATTTGTTTTGGTTTAGGAGTTAAAAGATCAACTGGAAATAAAAACTACACTAATGAGCAGAAAGTGGTGAAAGCACCATCTGTGACAGTAGAGTGGGACATACTTTAATCAATAAGTTCATTCTCTTACCATGTTTGGATACTGGACAGGAACTGTTGTCGCATTAAAAGCCTAATTATAGTTTTAACTGTTATTGAAATTTTGCTGAATAATTGTCATTTTATTCCACTGCTAGAAATAAAACGAAGTAACGTCTTAGATGTAAATGTCTGTTCTGCTCGAATGTATTTTTTGTATAATTTCATGAATTTCACTAGGTTGTCTTGAGTGCAACGTTAGAACTTTTTGACATTTAGGGAAACCAACCAGGTTAATCTGAACCAGAGGAGTAATTAATACAACAATAAGCACTTTTTTTTTTTAACAAGCTTTTACTCTTTGTGTTTGTGCTCATTGCTTTGTTCACGAACTTACAGCTAGTTGGTTGGATGCGTGTTATCTCCCAGTTTCCAGGTGTTCACGCTACATTCAGACAGGCAGACTATGGATCAGAAAAGAGTCATGTTGCCCACTCCGCCTGGCGTCAGGAAGATTGTGAGTCAACTTTTGTAGTTCTCTTTGTCTTTTTGCTACATGCATGATGAAAAGTGGCAAATATTCATACTTTTGTTGTACAGCGAATTATACAATTTACACAATGTAAGTCTGAGTATGGATGGAAGAAATGCAAATAAACTGAATTTCACTTTTTTATTTTGTCATTTCAGATTCTTTCCACTAACATGGCTGAAACAAGCATCACCATCAGCGATGTGGTTTTTGTTATTGATTCGGGAAAAGTCAAAGAGGTGCCGTCACAGAAAAAATTGCTGTTAATGTGGCACGAAGTCTTACAGTAACATTTTACACCCAAACATTTCTTGTTTTTACAGAAGTCCTTCGATACGCTCAGTCGCGTTTCCGTGTTCAAGACGGCTTGGATCTCCAAGGCCAGAGTTCTGCAAAGGAAAGGAAGGTGATATCGTCATTTGTTTACTCTTCGTTTTAGTCTTAGAGTAGATTTTCTATTAAAGGTACTTTTAATGTTTGTGGTGAGGTAGATTCGGTCACTTCCTGTTGTAATGTGCTATCTGACTAGCAGTTTTCTCTCTGTGCTGTTGCTCATTTTTTATTTATTCTGTTTTACTTTAGTCATTAAAACTAAACACACTTTAATATTTGGGCTCTACTAGCAGCTTTAGGTCTTCCTGCTGCTTGTTCTTGTTTTGCATCAGGTTGCGTGACAAGGAATGACTAAAATTACACGTAACATATGAAGTCCAGAAGACTACAATGCTTTAAATTAATTTAATACAAACAATATTCAAAAACAAAAAGGAGATGGGAGCCCTGTCCAAAGCAAACAAGCGGTACGCAGATGTCTCCCGTCGCTAAAGGATTTGAACAGTGAACGTCTGTAGTTTTGGAGAGGACTGTTTTCTGGACTGGAATAGAGCAGCACATGCAAGTAAACCTTAATATTTTTGGTGCAGGATATTCAAGTGGGTAGGAGTTACAGAGGCAGTTTATATTTTATTTTTTGCTTGACTGAGGTGGCACAGAGTGACGTATCCTGGCGAGTGGAGGGTGCAATTTCATCCACCACCATGTGTAATGGTGGAGCCAGTGGTTGCCTTGGCCACCATAGATTTTTGAGGAAACTATACGTTTAAGCAACAAAAAAATTAGAAAGTAGGGATGTATGATATTATCGGCATGGTATCGGTATCGGACGATATTAGCGTTAAATTTCAATATCCGACATCGGCCATTCCATTGAAATAACTCGCCGATATAAAAGGAGCTGTTTTTGCCTGCAGCAGCAGCACAACATGATGATGTTGCAGCGGCCGTGCAACATGATGACTTCAACATGCGCCTACTCAATCTCATGACGGAGAGGAAAATTCAAAATGTCGGCGGTGTGGAAGTTTTATTTTTCGTTGGTGAGGATGTTGGATTCTGAAGATTTATATGGACTACGTTGAGCCTCGCTACATCGTCACGCAGTCGGAGATATTTTTCCGACGTAACGTTACTCGAGGTACAAGCCGCCATTTCCGACGTCATTGAGAAGCTAATAGCTGATAGCACGACTTGTTGGGTGAGTTTTACCACAGACATTTTGAACGTTGTGTTAGCCCCGTTAGCATGATTAGTCTTACGACACAATGGATAGATAAAAACTTTGAACTTAAAAAGTCTGTCATTCATGCACAGGAGTGCAGAGGATCCTACACTGCAGCTAGGAACCTGGAACAAACCTCCACAAGTGAGACAGCAACGCAAGTGACTAATCCTAATAAATAACATTTAACACTTTTCATTTAATATAAGTTAAAGTTCTATGCATATCATATGGCTGGTACTGAATATATGTCACCAGCTCTTACAGCTGTTACACAATTTTTGTGGCAAATAAGCTTAAATAAGAAGGCTGTGTTCTGACAAAGGAACACATATAAAATATCAGTATCGGCATCGGTTATCGGCCAAATGAGTTTTAATATATCGGCATATCGGATATCGGCCAAAAATCCAATATCGTGCATCCCTATTAGAAAGCATAGTTTCCTCAAATGAGGCCACACACACACACACGGGGGTGACCATCTTGGATTTTGACAACCCAATTTTTGATAGTGACCTGTATTACACCTAGAATCAGCCACTCACCAAAATGGAAGTTGGCATGTTGCTTAGTTTTGAAGTTATCCAGATCACAAGGTGGTGTCAAGAACCAGGTTTATGGATTCAGATTTCAGCCAGACAACAAGAGTGTAAAAACACAACACTTATTAGTTCTGCAGCTGCAAGTGGGAGTCAGGATCCAGCTGTGGGAACACGTCTTCACAGGTAGGTGGGGTGAGAGCCACCTGTTAGAGCTTGAAGTAATGAAGTCACCATAACTGGTGGGAAGGTAGCTGCAGAGGGAGGCCTTTAATGCTGTGGATAGCAGGGCAATGCAGGGTCATGGTCCAAAAGGCGAAGCAGGGGTCAAGCACAGAGAATCAAAGGTCCAGAAACAAGTCCAATGGGCAATCTGTAAATCCAAAACCCATAGGACAGAAGACGTGGTCCTACCACGGTCAGAAGAGCAGAATCAGATGAGGGGCAGACACAGGGGTAAATCCCAAAGACAAGGTGTGAGGTTGAATCCAAAGAACCAGGTCTGAGAGTCAGGCGTGAATGTGAACAGGAGCAAGATGGCTGGATATCATAAACCATGAAAGGTATGATAATCTGGCAATGATGAGTAGTGAGAGGAGTTAAATAAGGCCAGGAAGAGGTGCGGTGAGAGCTGATGAGCTGAAAGTGCAGAAGGGGCATGGCAGAATGACAGAGCAGCAGAAACATGACATGGGGGCAGATGACAGAGAACCAGGGATCATGACAGATAAATAGACATACCGGTATATTGTGGCAGCCATCTTGGATTTTGAGGTGGCAACCCAATTTTCGAAAATAACATTTTTATGCCTAGATGTAGCAACACACCAAAATAGAAGTTGGTATCACTTATTTTTCAAGTTAACACAACATGTACAGTGGGGAGAACAAGTATTTGATAGACTGTTGATTTTTCAGGTTTTCCCACTTGCAAAGCTTGTAGATGACTGTAATTTTTATCATAGGTACTCTTCAACTGTGAGTGATGGAATCTAAAACAAAAATCCAGAAAAATACAATGTATGATTTTTAAATAATTAGTTTCCATTTTATTGTGTGAAATAAGTATTTGATACACCAGAAAAATGAAACTTAATATTTGGTACAGAAACCTTTGTTTGCAATTACAGAGATCAGACGTTTCCTGTAGTTCTTGACCAGGTTTGCACACACTGCAGCAGGGATTTTGGCCCACTCCTCCATACAGATCTCCTCCAGAGCCTTCAGGTTTCGGGGCTGTCGCTGGGCCACACGGACTTTAAGCTCCCTCCAAAGATTTTCTATGGGATTCAGGTCTGGAGACTGGCTAGGCCACTCCAGGACCTTAAGATGTTTCCTACGGAGCCACTCTTTAGTTGCCCTGGCTGTGTGTTTTGGGTCGTTATCATGCTGGAAGACCCAGCCACGACCCATCTTCAGTGCTCTTACTGAGGGAAGGAGGTTGTTGGCCAAAATCTCACGATACATGGCCCCATCCATCCTTCCCACAATATGGTGCAGTCGTCCTGTCCCCTTTGCAGAAAAGCATCCCCAAAGAATGATGTTTCCACCGCCATGCTTCACGGTTGGGATGGTGTTCTTGGGGTTGTACTCATCATTCTTCTTCCTCCAAACATGACGAGTGGAGTTTAAACCAAAAAGTTCTATTTTTCTCTCATCAGACCACATGACCTTCTCCCATTCCTCCTCTGGATCATTCAGATGGTCATTTGCAAACTTCAGACGGGCTTTGACATGCGTTGGCTTGAGGAAGGGCACCTTGCGTGCACTGCAGGATTTTAATCCTTGACGGCGTAGTGTTACTGATTGTTTTCTTTGAGACTGTGGTCCCAGCTCTATTCAGGTCATTGACCAGGTCCTGCCGTGTAGTTCTGGGCTCATTCCTCACCTTCCTCAAGATCAATGATGCTCCACGAGGTGAGATCTTGCATGGCCCCCCAGACCGAGGGAGATTTTCCGTTATTTTGTATTTCTTCCATTTTCTAATAATTGCACCAGCTGTTGTTGCCTTCTCACCAAGCTGCTTGCCTATTGTCCTGTAGCCCATCCCAGCCTTGTGCAGGTCTACAATTTTATCCCTGATGTCCTTACACAGCTCTCTGGTCTTGGGCATTGTGGAGATGCTGGAGTCTGATTGATTGAGTGTGTGGACAGGTGTCTTTTATACAGGTCACGAGTCCAAACAGGTGCAGTTAATACAGGTAATGGGTGGAGAACAGGAGGGCTTCTTAAAGAAGAACTAACATGTCTGTGAGAGCCAAAATTCTTACTGGTTGATAGATGATCAAATACTTATTTCACACAATAAAATTTGAAATTAATTATTTAAATATCATACATTGTATTTTTCTGGATTTTTGTTTTAGATTCCATCACTCACAGTTGAAGAGTACCTATGATAAAAATTACAGTCATCTACAAGCTTTGCAAGTGGGAAAACCTGAAAAATCAACAGTGTATCAAATACTTGTTCTCCCCACTGTATGCAAGCATGACAGGACGGGTGGACGGGCGGTATTTACAATTCTCGGCTCTGAGACGGGGGAAGAACAAATGTAGTCAATCGTCAAAGAGGAAGTGGGAGTGTGAGTGAAGACGGAATGTGAGACCAGCAGTCATCAGACCAACCCCAGCTGCCTCCAGCCTTTCCTCTATAACAGGGGTGTCAAACTCACTTACAAAACGGGGCCACAATTAAAACCTTTTTCAAACTAAGCGCCGGTTTCAGAATCTACATTAACTCAAGTCAGATACCCAACATCTTTTCCAAGAGTTTGATTGGTCTCATTTGACATTCTCTGTTGCACTTTTGACATCATAATCAAAGATTACCAAAAAAAAAAATTAAAGTGATAAAAGTATTTTATGTTTGAAACATCATCTTGAGGGCCAGATAAGATGTCAACGAGGGCCATATTTGGCCCCTGGGCCTTGAGTTTGACGCATATGCTCCAGAAGTTGGAGCTTGTTCTTGTTAAAGTCTCGTCAGCCTGTCAGGTATTAGAAAAAAATAATAAAGGACGTTATTTAGTCAGACATTCATTAAAATTCACAGAGGCGTATAACAGAGTCCCTTATTTTTAATGATGACACAAGGTAAGCTTCTGCAGTCCTTCTGTTGTTTTTGTTGGCCATCTTTCAGCAGATAGAGGCACCACCACTGATTTACCACTAACATAATACAACTTTAAAACACCTTAAAAAAAGAACAACACCGTTGACCAAAGTGCTGTGTACACTGATAACACATAAAAGCAAACATAAAAATTACATCATTTGAAACTGTAAAAAAAAATATATATAAACTGTTAAAATCATAAAAATATATACAATAGAGCAATAAAAATATAAATATAAACCAATGCAGTGAGTGTTTTCTCTGCAGAGCCGGGCGATGTTGTCCAGGGTTCTGCTTCTACCTCTACAGTCGTCTCACGTTCAACAACATGCTGGAGTTCCAGGTTCCACAGCTGCTGCAGATGCCACTGCAGGTACACATACATTATTTCAACTTTTGTCTTTTTCACAAACTAACATTTGTTAGACATGCTTGTTTATACTTTTTATATTTATAATTCCTAGCAATGAAAAATCCTTTATAGGTGGCAACCTGAGAGACGAGCAGGTGTTTGATGTTGTAAAACTGCTCCTCTGCAAAATCTCAAAAGTTCAGGGCTGCTGCTTGTTTTTAGCAGTTAAAATATTTTAATACAACCTTTGAAAACATTAAAACTGGTATCCAACACTTTCATGATCAATAATTACTTCAGCCTTATACAAATGTGATGACCAAATGGTGCCTTCAGAAGTTTTCACAAAAGTAACGAGCTACTTACAAACACAGTTGTCCAATGTATAATTTAGCACAGTTACGCTGAATAGTTTTACATGTGTAGAACAAGGACAGCATCTCCTCATAGATCCTGTAACTGTGAGTGAGGAAGTAAAGCTGGAGCTGAAAGGTGGAAATCATTGAGATGAACTGAACGTGCCGATCAGCTACAGACTCTTTAAAAGTTTTTTTTTTAACTACAGACTTCAGTGAAACTACAAAGACAACAGTTTGTTTAATTGTTTAAAGATGTTAAAATTAACTTAGTGGTGTTTTAGTACCTTTTTCTAACTATTGTTTTATTATTTATTAGGTTTTTTGAACATGGTGCAAAACGGCTTAATTTGTAAACCGATCGATTCCAGAACGCAAATTGTGTGTGTGTGTGTGTGTGTGTGTGTGTGGGGGGGGGTGTCCTGGGGTCCTCCCCCAGAAAATGTTTGAATAACATTTGTAAACACTCACATCCTAACCCACCCCCACCTCCTCTTTACTTGACGGTTCGTAGCCGACTCTTCTCCACTGAATTCACTGTCTGACTCCACATGTGAAACCTCCAGGCACTTTATCGATTAGTATACTGTATATGATGCAACATGTTTTGTTTCACGTAAAAATCAACGAGGAAGCGTCATCCAACAAGTTGTGTGGACTTTGATTTCACCGCGCATGCTCACAAGAACCTAACAAGTTGTTTAACAACATGAAAATATATTTGGCTAGCAAAGAATAGAGTCTTAACATTTATTAAACATTACTTCTGTATTTACAAAAAAACCAAAAAAACATCCAAATTATGCTTGACAAACTCATCGATAAAACTAAAAAAAATTGTCAACGCGAAACAGGAAACAAGGGGGCAGGTATCACTCGTTTTGAGTTTATACTCTGTTGCATGCGTGCTGTGGGTGAGAAGCATCCAGAGCGTCATAAAAACAGCAGCGGAGGTGTCTGAGTTATTTATTTTATCGTCTCAGCAGCAGAGGGGAGCGACACGGTTCAAGCATGGCTCCCCAAATCAGTTTACATAAGTTTTATTGTTCAAGGCAGTCATATTTGTTCATAATTTTATTATTATTAAGCCTGAGAGTTGCCGGATCCAAGCAAACAGTTGCCAGAATGCACCCTGTCAAAATAAGAGAGTTCCCGGATTTTGTTCCAGCAGGATCTGGCTCAAATTAAGCCCTGGTGCAAAATAAGGAAACAAACATTTCGTGTTTCTCGTGGCCAGTAGTTACAGTAACTATACACAGCATTAATCAATGTAAAATCATCAGGAGTTTTTTTTTTATTAATTTGCAACGACACTGTGGCAGTTAATATGTTGTATGTTTTGTTTGTCAGGACCTTTGTCTGAAAATCAAGCTGCTTGCTCCTCCTTCTTGTCTGGTTGCTGAATTCTTGTCCAAAGCTCCGCAGCCGCCTCCAACACATGTGATCCAGAGTGCTGTGCAAATGCTAAAAGTATATTTTTTTTTTTTATTTCCTTTATCTCTTAATCTGAAGTAGCTGCACATACAAACAATATTTTTTAATATCCTAATATTTATATCAGCACTTGCAACCTTCCTCTTCAGACAATAGATGCTCTGGGCCAGAACGAAGAGCTGACTGATCTGGGATACCACCTGGCTGATTTACCTGTGGAGCCCCATCTGGGCAAGATGGTGCTCTGTGCTGTCATTCTGAAGTGTCTTGACCCCATCCTCACTATTGCCTGTTCTCTGGCCTATCGGGACCATTTTATTCTTCCCTCGGAGAGCTCTCAAAAAAATGCAGCTCTACAGCGCCGTAAACGTTTCACTTCCAACACCTTCAGCGACCACATGGCCCTGCTCAGAGCTTTCCAGGTACGTGGATGTACAGTATGTTTGTTGCTACCTTTGTTTAGGCATTAAGCAATTCATTAAATACCAGAGTTATTGCCAACTCAATTGCAACAAGATCAGTTTTTTCAGGCTTGGCAGAAAGCTCGCCGTGATGGCTGGGAGAGATCTTTCTGTGAGACAAACTTCTTGTCCCAAGCTACCATGCACATGATCCTTGGTTTGAGGACACAAGTCATAGGACATCTCCGTGCTATTGGTCAGTTCTGGTTTCATTTCCTTTACATTTTATGCTTATGTAACTTTAATCGGTCGTGTTGAATGATTGAGTAAAGCAGCTTTTTTGTCCCCTCCAGGTTTTGTGCGGGCTCGTGGGGCCTGCGACATCCGTGACGTGAATCAGAACTCTGAAAACTGGGCTATTGTAAAGTCGGCGTTGGTGGCCGGCATGTATCCAAACCTTATCCATGTCAACAAGGACACGTTCCTGCTCCCCAGAAACAGAGAAAGGAATCTTCTCTTCCATTCTACATCTGTTCTGAGCCAATTTCAGTTAAAGGAGGTGGGCAGGAAATCCATTTCACAAACACCACCCTCGCTACTGCTTTCTACTCACCTGCGCAGCAATTAAAACTGACCTCTGCAAAGCTGAAAACATATAAGGGCACATTATACGCAACAAGTGGAACACCTGAGAATTGACTTTTTAGATGATATGAAATAGAAATCTAATTTAAAAGCAAATTTTGCTTCATTGTTTTACTTTTTATGATATAATAAATATCAAATAAAATGTTTTAGATTTGTGATTTTCTGTTTTGGGTGTTTAGAACAGCTCTGTCGAAGCAGCCCAGGCTCACCCCGAAGCAGCCCAGGCTCTCCCCACAGAGTGGATAATCTACGACGAGATGAGCAGAGGTCGCAGGACGGCGAGTGTTCGCTGCTGCACCCTGGTCACTTCTGCCACGGTGGCCATATTTGCAGGTTCTGCCAAATCTTTCTGCACCGCCGTCCACGAACCAACTGAACAGAGACAGAATGGTAAGAAGGCAAACAAATTAGGGCTGCAACAACGAATCGATAAAATCAATAAAAATCGATGATTAAAAGTGTTGGCAACGAATTTCATTATCGATTCATTGTGTCACACGATTATGCGTCTTTCACGGCACTGCGGAGCTGTTTTGTTCACCTGCAGTTCATTGTCAATGCTGACTGAATAAAGTTTGGAAAAAAAACAACTCTGCAGCGCGAGTTGAACAGAGTGAGGAGGGAGGCGGAAGCAAAGCAGAGGCTGTTTTCAAAGGAAATTAAATACATTTTACAAATGACCGACACAGAAAACTGTTCGACCCAAGTCCTCCAAAGTGTGGGAGCACTTCATAAAGATAAAAACTGAGCAACGTGCAGCTTTGAAAAAGTGATGACACAGGAGAACCACGCTGATGAAACGTAAACATGTTGGAGTCACGAGGAGGATGAACGAGCTGAACAGCTGATTCAACTCGTCTCACTCCCAACTCGTGTGTTGCAGGTGAGTCTCTACAATTTAACACATTGTTCTGTTTCCAATTGAGAAAACGTAACGTCACTCTCTGTGGTGAAGCTGCTGCTACTTGTTTGCTGATTAATGACAGTGATGGAGAACATGTGTGTTCATTTTATTTAATTTAATTGGTACAAGCAGTATTTAAATGTGGTTTATAAATAAATCTAACACAAAGATGATAATTTAATGATTAAGCTTCAACTTTTAATTTGCTGGCAAAGTCTGAAGACACTGCAGGTATGGCAGGATGAATTGCATTTAAACAGGAATTAAAGTCATTTATTGCATCTACTCAAATGTGTGTAATTAAGTTGTTTTTGTGTGTGTGTGTGTGTGTGTGTGTGTGTGTGTTTGTGTTTAATTGCTCTTTTAGATACTTTTGCCTGAACCTAACAATGTAAGTGAAACAAGGCATTTCTTGAGTTGCTGTAAATTATGATATAATACATATTTACTCTCATTCCAGAAAACAACAACAAACAATGACAGCCTTCATGATGGAAATACATCATGCACACCACAGCAAGCACCTGTCTTCACTGAAAGCATCTTTAACATGATCATCACTGACATGAGGCCTCTGTCGATGGTTGAAGACGAAGGCTTCACTACAATAATCCAGACTTTTAATCCGTACCATACCATTTTATTTATAGAGCACTTAAAACAGCTACAAGGCCAACCAAAGTGCTGTACAGACAGAACAACAGACAACACACGAAGCAAAATACAAAATGAAGTAAATAAAAAATACAGACATAAAAACGATGCAGATAATAAATATGACGACAAACCAGTGTGGAGCGTACAGGTTCAAAACACAGATCCTCTAGTGTTGAAAGCTACTGAATAGTAGTGGGTTTTTAAACAGGATTTGAAAACCAAGAGGTAGGGGGCCAGTCTGACAAGCAGAGGTAACTCGTTCCAAAGTCTTGGTCCTGCTACAGAGAAGGCCCTGTCACCGCTGCGCTTAAGACGAGTTCCTGGAACTGTGAGGAGCAACTGGTCCGCTGACCTCAGGGAACGTGGTGGGACATACGGTTGTAGCAGATCAGAGAGATGGGGGGTGTGGCAGAAACTGTTCAGCGATTTGTAGACATACAGGAGTATTTTGAACTGGATTCGAAGGTGAAACGGTAGCCAGTGCAGTGAGGCCAAAACTCCAGGAAGCACTTCAACTGGGACTCAACTATTTTCTCCAGTATTTTAGAAACAAATGGGCGTTTGGAGACAGGCCGGAAGTTGGAAACGACTGAGGGGTCAAGGTTTGTTTTTTTTTTTTTTTTCAGGAGAGGCTGGACAGCAGCATGTTTAAAGGTTTTTGGCACCACGCCAGTGGATAAACTACTGATTACTATAACAAGAATGGACGGACCTAGAGTAGGAAAAACCTCCTTTAGTAGTCGAGAGGGGACCACATCAAAGGGGGAACCAGAAGGTTTCAAGCTGCACATGACCTGCTCTAAAGAAGATAGAGTGATGGGTTCAAAATGGTCAAATAGAGCTACAGATTGAGGTGGAATGGATGGGTCATGAGTTGGAGGGGAAATGAGAGCCCAGGTGGTCGCAATTTTTACCAAAAAGAAATGTAAGTAGTTCTCACACAGCTCAGTCGAGGCTTCCAGAGGTGATGGTTCAGTGAGGTGGAGAACAGAGTTTAGGGTAGAGAAGAGGACACATGGGTTGTGAGAGTCTGAGGTAATGATATCAGAAAAGTATTTGGATTTAGCAGCTTTTACTGCTTTCTGATAACGGCGCCAACTCTCTTTAAGTATTTGAATAGAGACCTGCAGCCTGTCTTTCCTCCATTTGCGCTCCGCCCTCCTACATTGCTGCCTAACGGCCTTGGTGACGTCACTCAGCCAAGGTTCTGCTCTTGAGTTTTGGTTTTGTAGTTTTAACTGGAGCGACATGATCCAGAGTCTTTAAGCAGACAGAGTTGAACTGGGATGTCAGCGCCTCCGTGGTGGCGAGAAACACCGGGGGCTGAATGATCATTTCAAAGTTGTAAGCATCTGTGAAACGTGTGGCAGTGAAGTGGTTAATGGCCTGGCTACTACGTGCAGGAATGCACGGCTTAGGTGTTAGATGGGGGAGGGTGAACTCAAACTGGACTGGCATGTGATCTGAAAAAACATTATCACCAATTTCAAGATTATTAACAGTCATATCATGAGTTAAAACAAGGTCCAGTGTATGTCCGTGCTCTTGGGTGGGACCGTTTACATGCTGAGTTAGATTAAATGAGTCCAATAAATCTAAAAAGTCCTTAACCAAGGGCTTCTCAGGACAGCACACATGCAAATTAAAGTCCACAATAATGAAAACATGATCATATTTTGGTGTGATTTCAGCCAAGAAGTCAGAAAACTCATTTATGAAATCCTTAGATCGAGGTGGGCGGTAGACAAGCGCACATAACGTCGAAGGCAAATGGCCAAGTTCAAAGACGCTCAGCTCAAAGCTGGCGCAGGAAACTGGGATGGGCAGTTGTTTACAGTCAAAAGTTGTTTTTTATATTGTTAATAATCCACCACCGCGCCAGCCTGATGGCCGCGGTACGTTAAAATACAGACAGTTTGGTGGCAATAATTCCGTCAAGGCGCTGGACTCACCCGGAGACATCCAAGTCTCTGTGATGCAGAAAAAGTCCAACTCGTGCTCTTGAAAGCAGTCCCTGAGGGTAAAGTTTTGTTGGCAATAGATCTTGCGTTGACCAAACACATCCGGATACTGCTCAAAGTGGAGCTAGCAGCGGTGGAGCTAGCAGCGGTGGAGTTTGCGCGCGCTAATGGCCGCAGGTTTTCAATAACAGCCCCTCTGTAGTTTACCTGGTCCGGGCACGTGGGAAGCTGGCGATGGAAACCATGACCACCAACCGAAGAGGAAGATGCAGCGCGCAGGGCTTTAAGCTTTACCAGCCGCCCAGCACGTTTTCCCCGGCGTCTGTAACGATGTCTCCGAGCAGGGAGGTATGGAGCGCAGCGGAGGTAAACAGGCACGTTTGCCAGCAGGAGGGGAGGAGGGGGTGGTGGTCCAGAGGTACGCTCATATTTGTCCAAATAAGCGACATCGGCGGCAGAAAAACTAAGATCCAGAAGCTGTTGTTGGTCATACACCAGCAGCGAGTTTATGTCCCAGATAAAAAACGAACAAAACACAAATAATCCTAACACCATCAGCAGAGGTGGATTGCACGCCATGTACATGGGCGCCATTTTACCGGAAGTGTCAATCCAGGTTACAATAATCCATACTTTTAATCCAAGTTACACTCTTCCCTCAAGGACACATTTTACAAAGTAGCTACATATTGTGCAGGTATAAAACACACATTTGTATATATTTTTGTGTACATTAATTTTTTAAGCTATTTGACTAACTTTTATTTTTTATTATTCAATATTTTACTAACAGAATAGTCAAGTAGCAACCTGTTTTTTGTGTGAATTGCTATGTCAGTCAAATGTTCAATTTTGGAATAAAGGGGTGGAAATTTAAATATTTGGTGTTTTTTTTTTTGTTGATTTATCGATAATCGAAAAAGAATTGTCCGATTAATTGATTTTTTAAATAATCGTTAGTTGCAACCCTAAAACAAATCTCAGTATTAACATCTGTTTTAGCTTCTCAACTGCTATTGCCAAACTAACTGCAATCACGAACAGTCAGTTAACAGATCATTCAACATTTGCTTGTTTTTGTTAGGATTTGTGGTCGGAGCGAACCCAGAGTGCAGAACAGGGACTCAACTCGGCAGTTATACAAAAATAAGTTTTTAATGATAAATAAAAAGTACAAAATAAATATGCTGACGGGGCAGCAAAACTTACATAAACAAGGAGGGAGGCACGGGGAACTCGGGAGACACGAGGAACTCGGGGAACCAGGAAAACAGAGAGACTCAGGAGACTCACCCAACGAAGACGACCCGACAAAGGACAAGACAGAATAGGGAGACTTAAATACAAGGAGAAGACGAGACATGATGACAAACAGCTGGGACGAGACACAGGTGGCAACAATGGAAACTAACGAGGAGCACGAGGGAAACAGACAACACCGGGCCACAGAAAACTAACATCCTTACAGTTTTACTTATTGAACCTTAACTTTTGCCATTAGAAAACATGTTAAATCTCCTAAGACCCAAACTCTTGCATATGTGGATGCCAGATCCTAGGAGGTTAAGAACTGTAATAATTTTCAAAATAAAATTTAAAGGCTTATACCTTAATTGTTTTTTTTTTTTTACTCAAATAGATTTTATTAGTGCATTGTAAGAATGTGGTTTCTTTTCAAAGGTCTCTCAAAGTTCTTTTTTTATTGTACGCCCGTCAAAGACGAACGTATTATGATATAGTCTTTGCCTGTCCATAAACGATCTTGTCTCGCCCATAACATCTGACCTGCTCAAGATAATGTAATGAAACTTCATATGCATCATCACTGGACAGTGTTGCGTACACTTTTCATGACCCCAGCCCGAAAAAGTGCTGTCAGCTGTTGACCAGTGGTGGTGGGGAGGGGTTTAGGATGTGTGAGAAAAGTGGAGCGCTACGTCTGTAGCATCTTAGCTAGCGCGTCTGTGTTGTGCACCGGTAGCTTAGCACATCAACGTTTGAACAATGTAGCTGTCTGCGACACCAAGATTTTGCACGAAGATTTGAAAAGTCCAGCTGATGGTGTTATAGAGAATACGTTGAAGGAGAAAGATGGTTTCAAGAAGAAAGAATCAAAGTTGCAAGTTTTCTGGAAAGTAAAATAGTTAAAATCAGTGATGGGGAAGGAATAGTGGAAAGAAAAACAAGGGGAGAAGGAGATGGATGTTATTCCCAGGGGATTATGAAGGAAAGGGGAATAAAAGTTATGAAGTGTAGACATTGTGGTGGCACCAAGGTAGATGCCACCCCCAGTGTGTCCCCCAACATTACAAATGCTTCTGATACCAATGATGAAAAAGGCACATGGCCCTTGACAGGCTTGATCAGGCCAAAACATTTAAGAAATTAGTTTTTGCCATTATCAAAATGCTCCGCTATTAGGGATGCACGATATTGGGTTTTTGGCCGATATGTAAAAAAATTATTCGTCCGATAACGATATTTTATATACGTTCCTTTGTCAGAACATAGCCCTCTTATTTAGGCTTATTTGCTACAAAAATTGTGCAACAGCTGTAAGAGCTGGTGACATATATTCAGTAACAGCCATATGCATAACTTGTATTAAATGAAAAGTGTTAAATGTTATTTATTAGCATTAGTCACCTGTGATGCTGCATCACCTGTGGAGGCTTGTTCCAGGTTCAGCTGCAGTGTGTGATCCTCTGCACTCCTGTGCATGAAGGACAGACTTTTTAAGTTCAAAGTTTGTCTGTCCATTGTTCCGTAAGACTAATCATGCTAGCAGGGCTAACACGACGTCCAAATATCTGTGGTAAAACTCACCCAAGTGCTATCGGCTATTAGCTTCTCAATGTTGTTGGAAATGACGGCTTGTAAGTCGGGTAATGTTACGTCGGAAAAATATCTCCGACTGGGGACGATGTAGCGAGGCTCAACGTAGTCCATAAATCTTCGGAATCCAACATCCTCACCAACGAAAAATAAAACTTCCACACCGCTGAAATTTTGAATTTTCCTCTCCGCCATGAGATCGGGTGGGCGCACGTGACGTCATCGCGTTTTGCTGCCGCTGCAGGCAAAAACAGCACCTGTTATATCGGCGAGTTATTTTAATGGAATGGCCGATGTCTGATATTGAATTTAACGCTAATATTGGCCAATATCGATATCATGCCAATAATATTGTGCACCCCTATCTGCTATATTTGGTATCTCTGGTTGGCTTGCTGCTGCTCTTGTTGCTTGTTTGTTTATTTTTTGGTTGACGCCATCTTTCCAATGTATGTATTAATTAGGATATGTTCCATCCATTATCTTTTACCTGCTTCTTCCATTTTGGGTCACGGGGTCGCTGGTGCCCATGTCCAGCAGTCACTGTGCGAGGGGCGGGGTACACCCTGGACAGGTCTCCAGTCCATCACAGGGACACTTATGCCCCTTTTCCATTAGTACCGGTACGGGCCGACTGGACCCTACTCGGCCCGGTTCTGAGGCTTTTCCATTAGTACCGGTTCTTAGCACCTGTTACTATTTTCAGTACCCTTGGCTCTGTGGTTCTAACCGGAACGAAGAGGTACTAAAACGTGACGTCAAAACACTGTCGGTCACTGATTGGTCGGGGGCGGAGTCACTGGCTCCTTCAGAAACTTTTCAAAACAATAATCCGCCATTTGTAATTTCTCGGACTGGAGCAGCGGCTGGACTTATTTTAAACATTTCAAAAACAGTACTGACAACATCTTGGTCTAATGTTGATGTGCTGGCATTTTTTGTGCTTGGTGGCCAACAACATAATTCAGAGCAAGCTGGGTGGAGCTCTGCTGGTGTACCCCGATCCTCCCTCCAGAGCCTTGGCGCGCCAGGCCGGGCAGGGTGTCATCTCCCCGGCTCCAAGTTCACCACGGAAGATCCTTCGATGTGCCGACTCGGAGGCTCGGGTTCCGGATACCAGCCTTGTGTGCTCAGAGCTCCGCTGGTCACTGCGAAGCTGGAGATGGGGACTCACAGATGGACGTTGCCAGATCCCGGCCACGCGTAATCATGAAGGCTGAATCCCGATCCCACCCGGCAGTCAGGCGGACTGGACAGTCTGGGACGGACGGTGGAAGCGATTTTTAAATAAAATAATATTTTGTTTTTATACAAAAAAAAAAAATTGCTGAAGCTATTTAAAAATGATTATTATTATTTTTACACGTAAAATGTTTTTTAAAATCGCTTCCACCGTTAGTCGCAGACCTGTCTCTGCCCGCCTGTCTGCGCGGGTCGGACCTTCATGATTACGCGCAGCTGGAGTCTTGGAACGGCCTCTGGAGTCACCAGCTGAGCTGGAGCTGGGAAGATGAGCCTGCCCGTCCTGTCTCCAGAGGAGAGGATCGAGACCAGCAAAAAAATAATATATATTTTAGCGTTGAAGATAAAAAAAATAAATAAATAAACGGTGCCAGCTTCATCATGAAATCCTGTTTTCACTTTAATGACTGTTAACTCAGCTGAAAATCATAAAAAGACACAAAACTATTGGATCTCAGGAATATTTCCCTCAAACATGTTTAAAGAAAAGAGACGACCTTCAGTTCAAATTTATTTTAACCCACAAACGTACAAATCACAAAACAAGAACTTTGAAGCAAAGCTAAAAATAAAATGTATATATTTGAACAAGAAAGAAAACCACACATTTAAAATGAACATTAAAAGTAGACACAATGAGTGCAAATACATCAAATGATGATGAAAACCTATAAAAATTTAAATGTAATGTTTTTGTAGAATCTGGTTCATCAGAGTTTTAATTTATATACATATATATATATATATATATATTTATATCTATAAATATATATAGATAAATACATGTATATGAATATATATAAATACATATATATGTATATAAATACATATGTGTATATATATATATATATATATATATATATATATATTTTATATTTCTGTGTATATATATATATATGTATATATACATATATGTATATATATATATATATATGTGTGTATATATATATATATATATATTTATACACATGTACATACACACATACATACATACACACAACTTCAAAATAACATAAATTCTCAACCTGTACTGAAAACAGTTTCTGCGTCTCAGCGCCACCAGCTGGTGAGAGGTGGTGACGTCAATTTGAACCCCGCCCACTGGAACCGGTACTGAAAGCATAATGGAAACACAACCTGTACCGTACCGAGTAGAGTAGAGCCGTGCTGTACCGGTACTACAGGTACTAATGGAAAAGGGGCAATAGAGACAAACGTCCATTCTCTCTCACTCACACCTAGGGACAATTTAGAGTTACCAATCAGCCTAACATGCATGTTTTTGGTCTGTGGGAGGAAACCAGAGTACCCGGAGAAAACCCACGCATGCACGTAGAGAACATGCAAACTCCACCCAGAATGTCCTCCGGACCGGGATTCGAACCAGGGACCTGCTTGCTGAAAGACAGCGGCTTTGCCAGTTGCGCCACCGTGCTGCCAGTTCGGATATGTTAGGAAATGTTATTTTACCTGAAACATGTTGTCTTTTACCTTAATATTCTTCTTGGGAGTATACAAGAATATTTAATTTACTTGTTAAAAATTGTAAAATTTTCGGGGGGTGGGTGTAGACTAGGTTTGTCTCATTTTTCATCCCTTCTGAGTTTGCAGGTATAATAATAGTTTTGCCGATGGGTGTATAATGTGCTGTATTCTTGTTTTCTTTTTGCTCCACCAGGGGATATATTGTTATCTTTAATAAAAAATGTAAAAAAAAAAAAAAAACGTGTTTCAGAAAGAAGGTTTGTCTCATTTCTCCACCTGCAGACAGTCCAGAGAATGAGCTCAGTGACAGTGACAGTGACACAGAGGACCTGGTGGAGATGAAGATAGATGACTGGCTTGTCTTTGAGTTGGAGAAACAGGTGTGGAAACATCAACACCTGCTTTTCTACTTTTTAAAAAACTTTTATATTTGAAGACTTGCATTTCCCAACATTTTTAACCAGCAATGGACAAGGTTTCACGAAACTATCTTAACGATGATTGAACTTTTGTTGGCTCTGGTGCCGTCAGGCTGCAGGACTGGTGTCTGGTCTGAGGCAGAAGTGGCAAAGTTTGTTCATGAGGAGGATCCGTTGTCCCTCCAAACCCTGGTCTCAACAGGATGAGGCCATCCTCCAGACCTTAATATCTGTATGTGATCGTTTTATTATTTTGTTTGTAGTTTTGACATATTTATTTTCTTTGACTAATGGCTCAGGTTTAAACTGGCTTCATACAGGTACTAGGGGCAGAGGAGATGGAGGCTGGCCTGCAGCAGCCCACAGGGATTGGTCAGCGGCCCATACCCATGTCTACAGAGGACATCCCACAGAGCTCTGTGAGGAACTTCAAGGACAGCCCCAAGCTTCCCACCAACACCACAAACGACAAGTAGCAAATGTTCTGTTGTGGATTTTCCTGCTTTTCCTGGGTCCCTAGTTCAGTCACCGGCAGCGTCGGGTCCGCCCCGGCGAACTGGCAGAGTTCCTTGTTCGGGACGCCAAAATGTTGTGGATTTTCCTGCGTTAAGTTGTCTCAACACTGAAACAGGTGAAATTAAAGATGTCTTCAAAAATGGGCTTTGAATTTGTTTATTACAATAAACAGACGTGATAATAAAAGACAAGGAAAAAAGGGTCAGAAAGAAACGGCATCGTGACGTGCTTTGCGATAATTTGGCAGATCGTTTACATCTGTTCTAGAAATTAAAACAAGTAAACCCCTAGTTATACAAGACCTATCAATTATGAAATGTAATGTTCTATGTTGATGGACGAGATGCATGACTCATCCTTATTTCACAATCACCCAGAGCACAGTATTTTCCACTGTAAAGACGGACATAATATGCATTTTAATTAGGGCTTTCAATCGATAATTTTTTTAAATCAGATTAATCACACTCCGAGGCTGTGATTAATCATGATTAATCACTTTGTAAGCTTGAAATGTAAATGAAGGTTTTCATAAAATGTTGAAGAACATGTTTAATTGTTTCAAACGTTAATTTACAAATGTTAACTCAAATGTCTCATTAAGTGTCATCTATGTGGTCAAAACATGTAAACACAGTATAGTCATGGATTAATCTGCATTATGTAATATTATCGTGTTAATCTTTTTTAGATTAACCATGCGTTAAACGCATTAACGTTAACAACTCTAATTTCAATATTTACGGTTATATTCAAGGTAAAATACAAGTTTTCTATAATATCCCCTCCTTTTGCTCATTATCATGACCAATAAATAATTTGACAACTTTATTAGTTATAAAATGTGTTAGAAAAACTGCTGTAGGAGGTTGTTTTGTGGGAACAGTAATATCCCTGATAACAATCATAAACAAAAAAGTTGAAAAACTACAAGAGAAACAACACGGGGGTGACTTGTGCAAAAACAAACATGGGTGAGCTAGACATGTGACGGAAAACGCCCAGGCAGAAACCAGGTTTGAACTGTTTAATCAAAGAGGGGGGGAAGCGTACACGTCCACATGGCCATTTCACCGCGAGCTGACCGGCCTTGAAAGAGGTCAAAAGTTGAGTTAAGCTTCAGATGGACTGCACTGCCAGGAAGTGATCCATCGCCCAAATGGACATTCGTTCTGCCGCTGCACTCAGCGGACACGCGCGGCTGACGACCCAAACAGGTGAGATCTCAAAGCAGACACGTGTGTCAGAGCTATCCACGTGTCTCAGTGCGGTCAGAAACGGGGTTTAAATGCTTTTTTATGGCCGTGAACTGACAAACCCCTCTCAGCTCCGAAAGCAGATTGCTTGAAACTTAAAACTGACAAAAAGCTTGCCAAATCAAAATTTTTTACCTGTTTAAAGTAAGCTAGCCTATGAATAAATATTTTATTTTAAATTTTCTTCATATTCATATCTAGGCTGGGGCTGTGGTGGCTCAGTGGTCAGTGCAGCAGCCTCGTAATTGTGAGGCTGCAGGATCAAGCCCAGGTAGCATCAGAAAGAGCTTCAGTGTTTAAATGAAAACACGCTGTGCTCGCTGTGATGACCCCTGCAGAAGGAACAGCTGAAACATTCATATCAAAGCCTTGCTTGGTGAGTTATGTGTAACTTTACTGCCAAATATGTATGCAGTGTATTATTTATACTGTAGTATATTGTTTATTTCTTCTTTATAATTTGATATTATAGACCAATATCCTTATTACCACAGTTCTCAAAAATTCTAGAAAAACTATTTGTGACCATCCATCCATCCATCCATTTTCTTTACCCGCTTATTCCATTTTGGGTCACGGGGTCGCTGGTGCCCATGTCCAGCAATCACTGTGCGAGGGGCGGGGTACACCCTGGACGGGTCGCAAGTCCATCACAGGGACACATAGAGACAAACGAGACAAACAACCATTCACTCTCTCACTCACACCTAGGGACAATTTAGAGTTACCAATCAGCCTAACATGCATGTTTTTGGTCTGTGGGAGGAAACCGGAGCACCCGGAGAAAACCCACGCATGCACGAAGAGAACATGCAAACTCCACCCAGAAGGCACCTGGACCGGGGTTTGAACCAGGGACCTGTTCGCTGAGAGGCAGCAGCTCTACCAGTTGCGCCACCGTGCTGCCCTATTTGTGACCAGATTAGTTAAATTTATTACTAAACAAAACATTCTAAGTAGCAGTCAGTATGGGTTTAGAGCAAAAAACTCTACATCAATGGCTCTCATGGAAATAATGGAACAAATAACTACTGCTGTCGATCAAAAACAGTATTGTGTTAGTATTTTTGTTGATTTAAAAAAAAGCATTCGATACTATTGACCACACTATTCTCCTTGAAAAATTAAATAAATATGGTATAAGAGGACCAGCATTACACTGGGTATCTAGCTATTTAAAAGATAGGAAACAGTTTGTACAAATAAATGGTGTAAGATCCGACTTCTGCAATATCACTTGTGGAGTTCCTCAAGGCTCTGTACTTGGACCAAAGTTATTTATTTTATATGTGAATGACTTAGTGAATGTATCAGGACTCCTTAAATGTGTCCTTTTTGCAGATGACACCACATTTTTCTGTTTGGGTAAAGATGTAAAACGGATGTTGGAATTGATGAAAACAGAATTTGATAAAATACAAACTTGGTTTAAACGTAATAAATTATCATTAAATTTAGATAAAACTAAATACATGATATTTAGTAACAAAAAGAGAACTGTTGATGATCCATTTAAAATTGAGGGTGTTGAGATTTGTAGAGTTAATGAGATGAAATGTTTGGGTGTAATCATTGATGAACAGCTAACATGGAAAAATCACATAAATTCTGTAAGAACAAAAATATCTAAATCTATTGCAGTACTATACAAAGTCAGGGAATTATTAAATGATAAAGCTCTGTACATGTTGTATAACACAATTATTGTTCCACATTTAATCTATTGCATTGATGTTTGGGGCAAAGCATGTAAAACATTTACAAAACCTATTTTTATTTTACAGAAAAGAGCTGTAAGAATTATCACCAGAAAGCATTACAGTCACCCATCAAGCACATTATTTTATCAACTGAAGTTATTGAAGTTCCATGATTTGGTAGATTATAGTTTTTTATCAGTTATGTATAGCGCTCAAAATAACACATTACCATTAAATATCCAAAGAAATTTTGTTAAAAGACAAAGTTGTTACAATCTTAAGGGGATAGAAATATTTGTCAAACCAAAATTCAGAACTAGTCTGAAGGGAAGGTCTACCTCAATCCAAGGAGTTGGATTGTGGAATGGTCTAGAGAGTGATGTGAAAAATGCCAAGTCAATGTGTACATTTAAGAAAAAGATCAAAGCTGAATTGTTAAAAAGTATATATGAAGTAGCTTAGTGTGTGTTTTGTATTAGAATTAGAAAAATTAGAAAGAGTTATTCATTTTGTACTGTTACTTGAAAATTATTATGATTGAAATAATTGTTTGAAAAAAGGGGCAGATATAATAAGATTTTTTCTTCTTTCTGCTGCCTTTCATTTTAAATCTTTTGTATCTTTTTTATATTGTTATGGAATTGTTTTGTACTTTTTTTTAAATGAATAAACTTTATACCATACCATACCATACCATATTCTTTGGGTTGCCAGGTCAAAATCAACGATGGCTGTTGCCATATACTGTATGTATGAACATTAACCTTGTGAGCTGGAAAACTATTCACTTTTCAAATCTCTCAGTGACAGCAGACAGTGTTATAAGGTTTGCTTTATCTAACATATGCACAACTAAATCTAAAAAAAATGCAGAAGTTTATGTTAAGTAATCCAGGTATAAAATGCAACAATGTTCAGTCAGGTCATCTGGATGGTTTGTTTTTTTTAGCTGAGACGTTTCGTCTTTCATCCAAAGGATTTCTTCGATCTGTGGAGCCACCAACAAGCATAAGGATTTCTACCTGGATTACTGAGCATGAACTTTGGTGTTTTGAACCACTTTGGCATGACAGTCTCAGAGGAGTTGATGGAGGAGAGAGCAGGCCCCGGAGGCCATCTTAGCACCAGCAAACTGTTTTTTCCCACTATGGAATATGATGTTTGTGGGAATCAGTTTGTTTTGGTGGCTCCTCGGATCGAAGAAGTCCTTTGGATGAAGGACAAAACATCTCATCAAAAAAAAAGAAACCATCCAGATGACCTGACTGAACATTGTTGGACTCCAAAAAAAAAAAAAAAGAAAAACTACCATTAAAAAATAGCATGAAGATTGTGACAAAACTTTACAATCTCTAAAACAAGAAAATCCTATGTTTAAAACCTTAACTACAAAATCCACAAGGATTCAAATAATAATTAAAGGTGGCTGGGTGATGAAGCATTGAGATGAAAGTTTTGAACAAGGCCCGAGCCTTCCTTTTATCTTTCACAGAATTCAGTTTAGTCTTTCTGGTTGGCTTAAAAAAACCTCACTTTCTTTTATATGTCAAACTGCTGAAGTCAGACTGTAATTGGAGCGTTTGTGGCCTTGCCCTGCCTCTGATGCTTGAGTAATTGCAAGCTGTAGATGATATAAAATTTACCACACTGCACTTAATGAACAAAATGAGATGTCTCTGTAGAATAAAACTACAGCAGTCAGGGTCAAAGTTCACTTCTAGCCCTTCGGCTGCTAATTGGCTGAGCTTGTGATCTCTCCCAGAAGGTCTCGTCATTGGAGCCTTCACCCTCTTCTTGTTTTGAGCCTTCTTCCTGACAGCCCAGAGACAATAACTGACCCACGACTACAATAATGCAGCAGTGCCGTCAAACCAGAACCTTATACGAAACACATTTCCTCTTTTAATTAAAACCTCACATCACAGCTTTTGCTCTGTAAAGACAATAAGTGGAAATGTATGCAGTCTAACAGGATAAGACACGTTCTATCTCCTTTCTCTGCAT